TATTTCTGTGCAGGATTTTGATAATACGCGTCTATATGAAGAAATGTAACAATCACAACGATGTTTCTTGTGGGTGTTTACACATGTATGTGAACGAAAGTAACTACTGCAGGTGTTTACACATGTATGTGAACGAAAGTAACTACTGTAGGTGTTTACACATGTATGTGAACGAAAGTAACAACTGTGGGTGTGTACATATGTAAGTGAACGAAAGTAAGGCTGCTTACACATGTATTATTTACATTTATATATAAAAACAAAAATGTAAAACTTGAATCCTTTTCAAGTTTTATATCATGAGGTACGATAGAGTCTATGTAACCTTGTGAGGACAAAACAGTTAAGTTGATCTTACTAATCGGATCCCGAGGACATGCGAAGCATTGTGATATTTTACAGTATCGTGGAGCGCCGGGTTTCTTTATTTATAAGTGTTTCATCTGTTCTTATACATCTTAAGGCCTCTATCGAATGTGAATTCAAAACGTCGAAGTTTGCATAGTGCTTCGGTTACATTCTTACCTCCTTCTCCCATTACCTACAGCCTTACAGATCTTTTAATGCGTACTTATTCTCAAACAAAACGTGGAAACAAAGGTTGAACGCGAAGAGGAACAGTTGGCTCTCATCCTCATAACGAGGCACGGTTAGGACCCAGCTCGGGCTTCCTAAAGTTTAGTGATAACACTATAAGTGCATCCAGTCAAAGTAAGCATTCGGAGTTCTTATGTTTATTTATTAGAAAAATAAACTGTCGGATAGATAGAAATGGTTAAAAGATAAACTGTCAGATAGATAGACATGGTTAAAGGATAAACTGTCGGATCGATAGACATGGTTAAAAGATAACCTGTCAGATAGATAGACATGGTTAAAGGATAAACTGTCGGATAGATAGAAATGGTTAAAAGATAGACTGTCGGATAGATAGAAATGGTTAAAAGATAAACTGTCAGATAGATAGACATGGTTAAAGGATAAACTGTCGGATAGATAGATAGACATAATTTTGTTTATAAAGTCTTAAGAACCGTAGTTTACCATAAAGTATTAACAACCGTACTTTACCATAAAGTATTAAGAACCGTACTTTACCATAAAGTATTAACAACCGTACTTTACCATAAACTATTAAGAACCGTAGTTTACCATAAAGTATTAAGAACCGTAGTTTACCATAAACTATTAAGAACCGTAGTTTACCATAAAGTATTAACAACCGTAGTTTACCATAAAGTATTAAGAACCGTAGTTTACCATAAACTATTGATAACCGTAGTTTACCATAAAGTATTAACAACCGTAGGTTACCATAAACTATTAAGAACCGTAGTTTACCATAAAGTATTAAGAACCGTAGTTTACCATAAAGTATTAAGAACCGTAGTTTACCACTAAAAACGTTCTTTGTGAGAAATAAACACTAATTCATTAACTATCCAGATTGGAAACGAAAACTGTAATTAAGAAGTTTATCCTCTGGAGGACTATTTGTTACTTAGTACCACACCCCCACCGCTGAAGATTTGGTACTCTACCTTTAGATGACCTAAATTCAGAGCTTATCAACCTGCCATGTATTTACTTTGGCATTAAAGCTTACAGTTGTTATTGATTTCAAGTGATGGTCATGCAACCAGACTGTAATCTAAGCCCACAAGTATATTTTCTAAAACTATAAAGGAAGTTATCTCCGCACTGCCGTGAGCTAAGTTTTCAGTATCTGGAAAACCAGGTGTGTCCAAACGGCGGCCATAATTCATCGAGAAGTGATGCATTGGTCTACCGCACGGCGAGGAAAACTCCCCGCTATTCTTCTGCAGGCGTTAATACTAGGGTGGTGCATTTTCCAAGAACTTAATGGAAGCTAGCCTTTTCTGTTGAATCTTCTGCTGTATTCCAATGTGTTGCAGAATTATCAAGACTCCTGGATTTTCGATAAGATTAACCAAGACTAATAACAAGAAGTTACAGCCACATCACAAACTTCACATCACGATAAACTCAAGCGTTACTTTTATAAAGCTACGCCTTATCCTTGGGAATAGCCAACTTGACCACATCACAAACTTTCGTCACGATAACTCAAACGTTACTTTTATAAAGTTACGCATTGTCCTTAGGAATAAGAAACTTGTTGACATTACAAACTTTCGTCACGATAAACTCAAACGTTACTTTTACAACGCTACTACGACTTATCTTTAGGAATAGCAAACTTGGTGACATTACAAACTTTCGTCACGATAAACTCAAACGTTACTTTTACAACGCTACTACGACTTATCTTTAGGAATAGCAAACTTGGTGACATTACAAACTTTCGTCACGATAAACTCAAGCGTTACTTTTACAACGCTACTACGACTTATCCTTAAGAATAGTAACCTTGGTGACATTACAAACTTTCGTCACGATAAACTCAAGCGTTACTTTTACAACGCTACTACGCCTTATTCTTAAGAATAGTAAACTTGGTCACATCACAAACTTTCATCACGATAAATTCAAGCGTTACTTTTATAACGCTATTACGCCTTATCCTTAAGAATAGCAAACTTGGTGACATTACAAACTTTCGTCACGATAAACTCAAGCGTTACTTTTACAACGCTACTACGCCTTATCTTTAGGAATAGCAAACTTGGTGACATTACAAACTTTCGTAATCATAAACTCAAGCAATACTTTTACAACGCTACTACATCTTATTCTTAGGAATAGTAAACTTGGTCACATCACACACTTTCGTCATGATAAACTCAAGCATTACCTTCTATACCTTTCCACCGTTATCTTTAAAAATAGCAAACCTTGCCATATTACAAACTTTCGTCGTGATAAACTCAAGCGTTAGTTTTACAACGTTATACCTTAGCCTTAAAAATAGCAAACCTTGCCATATTACAAACTTTCGTCATGATAAACTCAAGCATTACCTTCTATACCTTTCCATCGTTATCTTTAAAAAAATAGCAAACCTTGCCATATTACAAACTTTCGTCATGATAAACTCAAGCATTATCTTCTATACCATTCCATCGTTATCTTTAAAAATAGCAAACCTTGCTATATTACAAATTTTCGTCGTGATAAACTCAAGCGTTAGTTTTACAACGTTATACCTTAGCCTTAAAAATAGCAAACCTTGCCATATTACAAACTTTCGTCATGATAAACTCAAGCGTTAGTTTTACAACGTTATACCTTAGCTTTAAAAATAGCAACCCTCTACTTGAAAACCATTGTTGAAAAATATTTTTGTAAAATTTGGTTCATTCTGTAGTTTCTTTCCGGTTATCTAAAAACATGACGTGAAACTCCCAAACTTCATTTGTTAGGTAAAACTTCTTGTACTCTTTTCGCACTGGTAATATCAGATCAGTTACCCATTAACTGTCCCAATACCCCATAAGCCCAGAAATAAGAGCATGTTTTTCTTTTCGTCTATTCCGATACACAAATCATAGCTGTCTCAAATAACTACAAATGGTGTGACACAATCACCATTGTCTTTTTAAAGTTCCAATAACCTGTTATTCCTATCTGCCTTATGTTTTCGGTAATTTCGTAACAAGCGTATTTTTCAATAAGGTGAGGCCTAGTTGTTACCGTGCCCAGACTGTGAATCCTATGATATAGAAGTCGTGAGTCGTTTCCGCGAAAATGCGCTCCGCAGTTTGGGACCGTGGGTACGCTATAAGTATGACGGTCAAATCCCATTATGCTGTTGACCATAGTTGCCTTACCATTAGTCTATCTGTTCAAATTTGGGATGGTTATGCACATATAACTCTTTATGCAATTTTGCGCGAAATTCTTAAACAAATCATTCAAGGAAATATTACAAATGTTATTACAAATATTACAAAAGAAAATGTGTTTTAATTTTGATTTAAAATGTAGAGAATTGCTTTTCAAAATCAATAAACATCTTTGACACCAGCACTGGATAAAATGGTTAAGTAAAAAAATGGCTTATTTACTGTTTTGAATGTGCAGATTTTTAGCGGGTAACTTAATGTTGGTTTAAGTCTCTTGGTTGAGTGTTAAGGTCAAATCCAAAA